CTCTAATAGGCCAGAGACGGGCCTGACTCTACCACGACACGACACCTGACAAACCCTATACCTACCAACTCGTCTGGCCAGCAGACGAGTTGGTAGGTATAGGGTTTGTTTCAAGTTTTCCTTCTCTTTGCAGTGCTGTTGTCCTTCGTAGTTTGCTCCCTTAGTCCACTCTTACGACACCCATGGGATGAAGAGGCGTGGTGACATTCTTTATTCTTAATCCGTCTCCACGCGGACAATTAATTAATTAATGCAAAGTCACTATATATTTTTTTAATGTAGACTTGAAAATTAAGTGTTAATATTTCGATAGCAAAAAAGTCTTATTTGGCAAATTAAGTCCAAAAATAAATAATTACTGAGGTGATGGCGGATGGATGGCGTAGTGGTTTAAGCGGTCGCCACGCCGCTTCCTACTACGCTGAGAGTTCGATCCTCACATGGAACGATACTTTGTGTGATCCACAAATTGTCGTTCTGAGTCTGGGTGTTCTTTGCGCCCGTTTCATGTATGTTTGTTAAGTCCACAGGACACAGGATATATTCCTAGTGCGGTAGTTGTGTTTAAAAAAAAAATCCTTACCACATAAATGTTTAATTGTCTTATCAAACCGGAGTCTTAAATAGTACGATAAATGAAATATGAATGACAGGTAAATGGACTAGTTAATAATAATTTAACACAGACAAACAGACTCGCTATAACGTTTTGTTTAGGTATGTATCTTGGTTTCAAAACGTTAATATACTATCGGCAGCGTTGTAGTAACAAGGTTTGGCAAAGACCTTTAGCTACGGCATTATAATATGCGGTGTGCAATCCGTCGGTTTCGGAATAGAAACCGCCGCAACTATAGAACCGCGACAACAATACTTGTTGTTATAAACTTAGTATTCGCTATGTGCGAAGTGTTTGTTTGGTGGGAGTATTAGCGTTCTGCCTCAATGGGTGGGGATAATCTGTTAAAAATTATCTTAAGATTTTCCATAATTTGTGTTTATTTTGAAATGGTTTAGAATATCCACGTAGTTGGTTTACTTACTTATTTATTGACACGGAAAATTCAAGATAATACATATAAAATATCCAAAGGAAAAGTGTACTATATGTGGTCAAACAAACCAAGTCAACTAAAAATACTTAATTAACTACATCTACCAACATTCGAGCCATTAAATAGCGCAATTCAAAAAATGACACTGAATTCTACGCTACTCCCTGACTTCTGGGTTGTGTACTTCTTTATGTCATTCTTTTACCAGAAGGGTGCAGCTTCTAGTAAAAGAATGCCATAAAGTACGGAATTATACTTAACAATTTTATTTAACTTTAGTTTAAAAGGCAAACGAGCAGACCGGTAACCTGACGGTAATGGACTACTGCCGTTAATGGACACAACAACTTTAACGCGTATTACTTGCATCTGAAAAGTTCCTAATTAATTCTAACCCACTAAAACCAGATCATGATCGAAGTAGCGGTGTATTTGGTTATTATTTTTGAAGGGGTGGTTATAAGTTTGAACTCCGACGCACATAAAGGGGTGGTTAAAAGTTTGACGTGTCTATGTGTCTGTCTGTGGTATCTTCTAAACGCATGGACCGATTATGCGTTTTTTTGAGAGCGTGGTTGAGATAGCTCTTAGCTATAATTTGTGAAGATCATAAGCTCATTTCTTAGTTGATGAAGGGATTTAACAAACTTACACAATTGCAATTGATTTGACATTCGGTGTACTATTATTTAAGTGGTATTTCCATGAAATGGTAATCTTGATCTGAAGTTGCAGGGTGTTTGTTTTGTTAGTCTCTTTCAATTTTGCACATTTTTTCTAAAGAAACAGTGTTGTTTATATTATTTAGACTTTAGAGCGATGGGAGATGAGTGTAGTCAATATGACGGGTGTAGAAACGTCTGAAAGTTTGAACTGACTTGCACACGTTATTTCATTACCTATCATCATTAGGTATTAACTTAAGCATTAGCGTTTAACACTACAACAGCTACAATATTATAGGGATATATGATATACACATTTTTTTTGTAAATATCAGGGTATATCCACAAAAGGATAGCCAAGTAAAGTATATCTACTCGTGGTTGAAGTCAAAGCTATTTTTATCGTTTACACATATATATTTAGCTTTAGTTTTAAAATAATCAGGATATCTCGTCTTTGAATTTCCATCAGGTCTTTACCTCACCGAGGCCAAGAGGCATGGTGGTGCCTCGAACTAAAAATACACTGCTCCTTCACCGACTCTCGGCCATGTGTACTTTTAGAAGGTTTTCATGTTAACCTTATCAGAGAATAAAATAATACAGCTACGACTAGATACGAAAAAAAAGAAGTAGTACAATACAGCGTAATGTGCAGATACATCATATTACCTTTTTAACTTAAATCATTTGTTTTTAAACAACTTCAAGACAAGAAAAAGTGCTTTAATCGAGATACATAATATATATTCTGAAGATATTTTCTAAATGTAAGCTAGTAATGGTTTTTCAATAGCAATGCACTCCGGGGAAAGTAACTAAAATAAATAATGCACCTTTTAAAACCAAGAGATTAAAGAAAGGTTCTATTATATAATATATGATTAGCTAGGCTTAATATTAAATTAATATAACCTGGTCAACTTATAATGCAACCAGATTAGTAGGTAAGGTTTTAAAAGCTCCTAAGTAAAAATTTTACTGAGTATTTCATGTTATGGTTATTTGTTTTTTCAAGTTAAGATAAAACCTATTGACTATTGACGACCGGATGGCGTAGTGGTTTGTGTAACGGACTGCTATTTCAAAGGTCGCGGGCTCGATTCCCGCTCAAGTCAAACATTTGTGTGCATGAACATTTGATGTTTGATTTGGTCTGGGTGTTTCTATGTATAATATGTAAGTATTTACAAAAAAAAAGTATATATGTATTTATATCAGTTGTCTAGTACCCATAGTACAAGCTCTGCTTAGTTTGGGACTAGATGGCGTTGTGTGTATGTGTTAGAATATTATTTATTTATTATTGTTTGAAAGTCCGGTTCGGCTGTCCTAATCTTTTTATTAAAATCGAGTTTAAGGTAAAAACAATTTGCGTATAACTTAATTTTTTACCTCAAAAATCGTCAGATTAGTCACTTAGCTAAACTTTGACAAAAGTTGTAATTTCTAACGACAAATTCGCTAAATTGGCAACACCTACTCCGTCCATTATTTTATTCGATTAATTTTAGGTCATTGGACTAAAAATAACAATTGGTTTTGTTTTAGAGAGAGATTCAACCAATTGAGAATTTGAGCGAAAAACTATGAATCTAGTACATATCACCTCCTTTTTGCGTTCAAAAATCTGAGTTTTAAGTTAAATTTCAATCATTTTATAGTTTAAAGTACAAATATAATTCAAATAAACATTCACAACTTGATACGAAAGGGTTTTCACTGATTTTAAAACAGTTAATATCGTTTGAATATTCAGCAGAAACATTTGTTTTAAATATTCATAGAAACCGAATACAACATAATTTTTTTTGTTTTTTTTATAATATCCACACATGATTAGTATAAGCAAATAAGATAGATAGAACATAGCTTATTTAAAATACGCGATAATAAAAGAAAATTAACTAAGGGTAGGTTAAGAATACCTCACATCTTGGATGGTGAAACTGCATTACCTCGAAGAGGACAAGCGTGCCTGTATGTCGTCTCACGATTGGAGAAGACAATTTATCCTAACCCATTTAAGTATAAAAAAAACATTTTTGATAACGATAAAGATAAATGAAATTAATTATCAATTTCATTTATCTTTTTGAAATGTCTAAAAAAAAAAATACCATCTGGTGTTACTAGTGTTAGTGGGTACCTGCATTTGAAAAATCTTAATTTATGTTTCGTTTTCCTTACTTAGTAAAATTTAAAAATGAATACATTTTCAAATTTTACAGTTATTTTCTTTTATACTCTTTATTTGAGCTATATAAAGCTCCAAATGAGGTATACATTCCAATTTTAAATCATCATTTATTGCCACACAAGATTCATAAGTTTCTTTTAAGAAGAAAATCTGAACCTCTAATAATTGGTCTAAATTGTTGGCTTAGCTGATTATCATCAAGCCAGCCAATCCAAACACTTAGCAACACTGGTTAGCAAGTTCAAGCTCATCTTCTGTCTCAACAAAGAAAAGGGAATTAGATGAAGATTGTATCCTTTAACAAATTTCGAAAAACTACTTGGTAAGTTGCCTATCCTCTACAAAATCTCTATGGCTCTATGGCTCTACAAAAATACTTAATTCTCTTTAAATAAATCTTCTTTGTTAAAAAAATGCAAAATATTTGGATAATTCGCCCAAAACATAGCTTAGCAATAAATATGATAATCGTAAATTATAACAATAATACCACATAACATTTACCCTAAATGTACTTGGTGACATGTAGAAAGGTCATGCCGACAATAGAAGGCTACCAGAAAACATTTTCTACATGGACATTTTATTTTCCAACTGAGACATACTTTCACACAATATTGAAATAGAATACTAATTTGGTTTACTGATTTGAGGTTGCATTTAAAGAAAAAGTTAGAAAATAAAACTAATACAAAGGCTTTTAGATATATTTAATGTGTATGAAAATATATCCTACTTACTTAAAATTAAGTAATGACTATAAAACAAGTCTGTTACTACTGAGATAAAATGCGTAAGTGTGCTGCTATTAGTGTTTTATTGCAAAATATTTTTTATCTACAATCTTGTTTTAAATAAAGCTGTTTTGTTACTACAAACTCATCAATACAAATTTATATTAACTTAAAAATAATGTCTTAAAGATTATTTATTAATTAAGTAGATCTTTTAGCTAACTTGCAATTTAAACATGTAATTTTTTTATAAACTAAATAGCAGTACCTGTCATTGTCGACCATTGATAGATATTATGTGGATTTATATTAAGATGTAGTATTTAAAAGCTGTTTAATTTATTTGTTAGATGCCTAGGCCAAACACAGAGACAATACAGTACATAGTTTTATTCTCCCAACGCACAGTGCATGAGCCATCAGTGTTGTTATCCCAGAAACACGAAGATGCTGTGTGTAGTCCTGCACCATTTTTTTGCATTATTGTGCAAGTCACTGAAACAATTATAAAAGTTTACATAGAACCAGTATAATCGGTGTCAATAGTAACGTATGCTTAAACACCGGTGCACATGTAGGTGTCTACTGTCAACATACCTATATATTTGTAAGGTTTTTGTAACTTCGTCAGTTGACCCAAACAAGACTCCACAACAGCTGACGTCCATTGATTAACTTTGTTATGTTGATAGGCAGTACCTCCAATTGAATTTTCAATAGCTTCTTTAATAATTTTACTCACATCGTCCACAATGAATTGATTCTGAAACACGTCATGTTAGTCAGTATGAATCAATATTTACAAGCCGTATTTTTGTTTGAAAACTTTGAAGTTACATACTTCTTCAGCTAAATCGTTGCATTCTTTAACTTCCATGATTTTAAACGAAAAGTTCTCGGAGTGTGCCGACGTCTGCTGGAAATCGTTTAGTACAAAAACAAAATTTTTGATGCTGCAGAAAGAAACCAACTCCCAAATTGACACATTTTGTTGTCAAGTTGGCTGTATTGCTTTGTGGGACGCAATCATGCTCTATGATTAAAGTTTTAATAGCTAGTCTATGAATAAAACCGTTTTTTTTTGCCGATAAAAATAAGAGCATCTCTATTTTAGTTTTTTTAAACCGGATTTATATTTCTTATTATTTTTATGAATAGTTCTGTCAATCTTCATTGTCATTATTGTAACTGGTAATCTCGGTGTGGCTGTCAGTTGGCTTTTTATTATCCTTTTTGCAAGGAGAACATGAATATTTTCAGATTCACAATTTAATATTAAAAATGGCATCGTCTGTACAAAACAATAGAGTGTCGCATGCAGGATATTGTGTTTGTTGTAGAGTGTGCAATACGTGGTGTTGGAGAGCTTTCAAATGGCTCCCTGTACTGTTAATAGTGTCCATTATAGTTTGGTCTTATTATGCCTACGTTGTCCAGTTGTGCATTGGTTAGTATCTGTCTAAATGTTTATAGACGAAATTGGTTGATTACAAATACTTTTTGAGACATTTACATATTGTCATATTTTACAGGGACCATAACGAATACTGTGCAAATGGTTGTGTATTTGGTGTTATATCACATTCTCCTTATAATGTTCGCTTGGTCGTACTGGCGGACGATATTTGCAGAGATTAAACCAATACCAGACAAGGTAAGCTTACTGTGCATAGTATAAAGTTACTAAACAAAGCATTATCTAGTTAGATAGTTTATTTGCAAACATAAATAACCTCCTTTATACTTTCTTGTCTTCTTTCAAAGTAAGGCAGTAGGGCATGAGGGCTTGTATTAAAAGGGTATGAATATTGTGGGTGTGGGTACCTTGTTGCCAAAATACACATACAAATTACACTTTTTATTTATATATGTTGATATTTAGTGTAGTGTTTCTTAATGCCTTGGTTATCTCAATGATATCATATATGGTTGACTCATACCATTAATGTGATAGCGCCAATTATAATTTAAATGACCTGCAATTATAAATTGTTCACCACAAATTTATTTCTCCTACATTATGGAGTAACCACCTATTTTAATTTAATTTAAGGTTATTAATTTATTTATAATATGTTTAATGAATCATGACTTTGTATATAAATAAAATATAATATTGTAGCTATGGTTTATATAATACTTCACAAAAAATGATCACTTTTATACCATAACACTAGTTCATGATGAGCCTATGATGATCTAGCAAACTTAATAACATATGATGATGGTGAATGATGAGAGCATTGTAATGGTAGCTAAATAATAATGCATGATTCAAGAGGGTCTCTTAACATAATAAATAAACTTGTTACCTGATAAACTTCCAACTAGTTTTCAGTTACATAAAGACACCTAGAAGACTATAGCGATAATTTGAACTCTCTGGTTATAAAACACTTTGTGCAGAGGGTGATTGGTGCTAACACTAGGTAATAAGTAAAAATTAAATACTAACACTGGATACTTTGACTTTCTGTAATAAAAATATTATTATTACTATAATTAAAACTCCAATTCAGTCAAGTCGTGCATTGCATCATTGCCTCGTGCATTACTGTGATCCACTGGAGGGTTATGTTATTAAGTTTGCAAGGATGTCTTAATAATAATAAATACCGATAGGCTGTTTAACCTCTGATATGCTGCTACACTTTACAGTGCAATGGCATATCAGAGGGGCGGCATTTGAAGAGTTAATAACTGTTCTTCTTGATAAACATAGGAATATAATAAGTATAACAGAAAGAAACTACTTGTTTGATTCAAACCGAATGAATAAAGAAGGAATGAAAAATAAATAAAAAGTTTTATATAACGAGTGAAGTTGAGATAGAATGAAACAGATCAGTGATTATACAAAAAAGTAGCGCTTGCTCCCTAAAAATAAATAGCTCTTAAAGTCAAAAGAAATAATACTAGGTATGTCTTCTGTTAAGTGTTAACAGTGAAATTAGGCTAATTAAGCCTAAATATGTGGTTCACACGAAGACCAGATAAGAAACAAATTTATTAAGAAACAAACAATTTATTTTGTATTGTTATTAAGCCTATCAGATAAGAAACATTCCATCACCTAAATCTTGTAAATGAGATTATTTTATCTGTCAACAGTACTCATGAATTGGATTGAATTGGAAATGGTATGTGAGGAAGTCAGGAATGAAGGACTTATTGTCAGGACAAAAGGTCTGATGTTGTACACACTATAATGTTCAATGAAATGTACTTTAATGTTATTGTGATAAAAATTATTATTCTTGAAGAAGAGATTAAAGTATGCTTATCATGACTAGTAATAGGAAATATGAATGGTGTAAATGTTATTTTAAGGAAAGAGATTATTAATTATTTGAACTGGTAATGTACAATATTGTAATTCAAATGTTAATACATATTACAGCATTTATTATTTTTAGATTCTGAGTAAATTCCAGGAAATTCATGTGTGCAATATACAAAAGCTTTAAATTTTTTTTTAAATAGCACATGTGTGTATATTTAACTATTATAAGTTATATCAAAATCATATTTGATTGTTGCAACATATTAAAAAAACATTTTGTTGCTCAGGCCCCCTATTTGTGACATCACACGTAAAACTTATAAAGGTCTTCGCCTTCATTGTCGTCGGCGTCGTAGTCGTCGTTGTCGATGGTCGTCTTCGGTGTCGGCATCCATGGCTTGTCTTTGACGTAATTGCCGTTGTGTTCGTCGTCGTGGTCGTCTTCGTCGTCGTGGTCGTCTTCGTCGTTTAAAAAAATTACTCTTTTCAGATCATTTTTAGAGATCTGAGTGATCTAATAACAGTAAGGGACGGGCAGTCAAAAACAACACAAACAGTAACATAAATGAGGAACGTACCTAACAATATCATGTCCATTGCCTTTTACTTGGGGGCGCAATCTTAATACTTAACCTGCTGAACCCTTTAGTAAACTAACAGGCCAGTCAATTTCAAGTAGATAAGAAAAGTCAATTATTTACGAAAATATTAGGAAATTTATATTTGAAAATATAAAAATAATTGATTTGAACTCGTTGTTGTATTAATCACACCACCACTCGCTCCATGTATAACAACTGCATGGGCAATTTATTCTTAACCTTGCAGACCTGTTTTAACTACGATGTGTATTACAGAGTGATATAATTTTTTTAGGTAAAGGAAGGACTTTGCGGTTATTTTTACGAGTTTTCTTATTTATCTAACTTAAAGATCTTGATGTTGTATCTAAGTGATTTATTCATGACACATATACTCGATACTTGAGATCATCGGATTCATCAGAAAATTTGACCTTAGAAATTCCAACACACCACAACTTTTACTGATACATCTTTTAGGCTGCAAGCAGCACGCCTATGGAATTCGTTAAACTATAAGGCGGGGACAGTCAAAAAGTAATATTAATTAATATACAGCAATTGTAAATGCGCACCACACGCTACATATTACTATATAGTATAGTGACTACTCGTGCGTGTAAAAGGTTGCCTGGAAGAGATCGCAGACTGCGATAAGGCCGCCCATCATATCACTGTTTTTTTTTTGTGTTTGTATTCTACATTGATGTATCCTAATCATGGTGTGCAATAAAGAGTACCCATCTATCTATCTAAGTACATATTCCTTGCTAGACGAGCGTGTTGACCTTTGATTTTGACTGTAGAGAATTTTAGAAAATAAACAATAATTTGTTGGTTGGTGTTCTTCTCAGTTCTTATAGGATTCTATGACGAGCAATGTAAACATGATTCTCGACCATCGAATAGATAAAACGCATCTGCATATACATCACCACAAACACTATTCTCAGCTAACATTCGTATTGTAAATAATATATAAGAGAGACCTCGAAAATGCCTTTTGCTTTTAGAATTACTTGCTTCCGAGAATTCCAGATATTATTAGACACGTTTCGGAGCATTGCTCTCAAGTATATAATCAAAATATAAAAACTAGAAACAAATTATGCAGTCGAAAATAAAAATGAGTTTTAACAAAACATATTCCTATAAATCTTATATTTAAAGAATGACAGCATCATTGAAAGAAAAATACGTCGAGTATTGGTAAAAATAGCTTTTTAGGATATTTACACAAAATAGACAATTCGTCACTAGAAGATGTTTATTAAAATATAGAGCTATTTATAAATATAACTTTACATGAGAGTTTTAATGTTTTAATCGAAAACATATATTTATGTAATCGTGGGACGGTGTCTATTTCGGATCAGTGGCGTGGCGTCATCAAAGGTAGTCAAAACAGAACATTTGATTTTTATATAGATCGTAATACGTGTCTTTCGCTATATTATATTAGTGTCTCTGACCTTGATATCTGTCGCCTAAATATTCCCAGATAGATATATATCTTGTACAGTAAACTGCTACTAAACTAGTCTACAAACTGTTCTTTAAAAAAAAGTTTATCTCTAAACAATATTTATCTAGGTCGGTATTTATCATGCTCATCCGTTTGGTGACTGATTAAGAATACGGAGTGTCACCGCCCCTAATCATTCCGTGGATGTCGTAAGAGCCGACTAAGGGAGCAAACTACGTAGGACAACAGCACTGCAAAGAGAAGGAAAACTTGACACAATCCCTATACCAACCCGTCTGGCCATTGTGTTAAGTAGACCAAAACGTCTTTTTCAAGAAGAGGCCTATGTCCAGCAGTAAACTATTAAGGGCTGTTGATATTAGTTTATCTTTAATATCCATTTATGTTTTTCATCATCGATCGCCATGATGATAATTAAAAAATATATTGTTGCAGTACAAACTGCCTGAAACAGAATTAGAAAAATTGCTGAGCGCCGAATCTGAAGAAACGCAGCGGAATATATTGGAAAACTTCTCCAAGGATCTTCCCATAGTAACGAGGTAAATATATGTATATTAAAAAAAATCGTAAGCTAAGAACTACCGCAGGTTGCCGTCTGTTCTTTTATACAGAAGACAAGTTTTATGCCGTAAGTATAAGAGTATAAAAGTGCCTTCGGTTTGGTTAACACCAACTTGTTTAGGTATATATAAATACACAAATATATTTTTTCCTTTATTGTACACCAACAACAAATATATACGGTTCACTAGCAACTAAGTTAATAGGTATATGTCAGTAAAATAGTCAATTTTATCGCTAAGGGCGATAATACACAATATATTTCGTGACGTAGAGACCCGAAAGATCTTTTACATAAATAGCATATTATAAAGCGTCAATGAGTGGAAAATCATGTTTCTATTATGTTATGTAATTGCGTATATGATGAGTAAAGTTTATTCTAACACTTTGACAAGACCACTCATGAGGTTATAGTCAGTGGTAGTAGCTGCTCACGTACAATACTACCAGTTGCCTGTCTACCTAATTGGCTGAGGACTTTTTTTCATTAACTTCATGCAAAGTACGCGATTTGGTCTTCCTGTAACTGCAACAACGCGTGGGCGGTATAATAAGAAACATACCATAACACGAATTTTGCTATGTGGATTTGTACAGTGACTACGTTGTATGCTGTTTTTTTACTCAATGAGCGCATGCAGCGTAACACATATCATACATACAAATATTTATGTATAATAATGGGTTTTTATCAAATGAATGACATCATATCATGTCTTGTTATAATTGCGAAGTTTGTTTGGGGAATCAATAACCGCTGAACCGAATCAAATAAAATTTGGTATGAAGATAGTTTGATTTTTGAGAAAGTACATATACTTTTTACCGCGATAACCGACATACACGCGGGCGCAGCCGCGGGCAAAAGCTAGTTGTGACATAAACCTAATTGATAATGGTTCCTTAACGCTGCGAGGAAGACTAAGGGTTGCTGTAGTTGGTTTCTTGCGGAGGAAATGCGAACGGTCTGACATCTTACAAGGTTGCGATTAATCCACGTTTCTGATCTAAAGTGCCGATTTCGCATACGAAGTGACGTTTAGTTAGTTCCACTTGGACATAATCACTACGTACCCCTAGCCTCGCGGACAAATTACCTAAATAATATAAACGCAAATAGTAGCTAGGTAGCATGTATCAGCTCCACGTATTTTGAGGAAAATGTTCTAAAAGGCATGGTGACATGATATGACTGAAAAAAATTGTTCTGTATTTACTACTAACATTTATTTTTGCGTAATGTTATCAAGTGTTAACCCAATATAGCAGCGGAGATGAAATAATCTTCACCCGACATGCTCGTTACGCTTCTGTTTCTCATATTATGCATCACAATGATATTTTATATTCAAATTGAAATTACAAGTCTACCAACAGTCTCATGTGATTGAAAGACCTATCTCTTTGAGACTACTTTTATTGAATAAATTCTAATACTGACATACAGAAATAAGCTTTACGTAGATTATGTAGATAATATAATCTAAATGCACTAACATTTAGATTATATTATCTACATATGTAGTTGTTTCTTTTTTTAATTCATATTACTTTTCTCAATTCTAGACTCATAATTGCGTTAAGAACGTACAGCACGCGCCTTTTTTTTGGATCGTCAGTTAACAAAACACAGATTTTAGAAAATTTTGCTGATAAAATACACGTTTTAACGAGGTTTGTTTACAATTTATTCTGTGTAGAATTGAGAAAAAGTACTTTTTTGGAAGAAAATATTTAGTTACACATTAAATTAATCATATTAGTTATTCTTCAATTAGTTAAAGTTTTAATATAAAATTAATCTATTCACACTGTTAGTACATATGTACTTAAAACGGTACTATGTGATTAGGTAACACAGATTGAGTCATTGACTTCATTTTTATTTATGATTGCTAGTGACGTACTGTAGACGGATGGTATAGAGTATGGAGATTCGAATAGATTATAGTGTTGTATGTTCATATCAATCGGATAAGGGCTATACCTTTTTTACATGCGTTTTTTTTAAACGGCGGTCATTGTTAACATTCGTAGATTGGATGTAAGATACAACATTTACGATATATATACAATATTAACATAAGGTTTTTATTACAAATAAAATTACATTAAATCTGAGGTCATTTAGTTTGACAATCAATTAGGCACATAAAATTTAAGATTTTCAGGTATCTGCTTTATACATGATATGACGAAGGTAAAACACTTTAGCTAAAATATAACACTAAGCTGATTTAAAATGAACAAAAAAAAAAAGTCTATAGTCGCGTAAATCATCTCGGATATGGGAAGAAAGGGAAGTAAACTGTAAAATGACTAATGATAATAGAAAATTGAAGAAGTAAATGAATTGCGCATAGACTAAATAAATTAAGGAGAAAGAAAGGAGATCATAGGAAGGTAAAATAACATTTCTGAACGAAAATATTAGATTCTGAGTAAAAAACTGTTTATTATCGGTTTTCAATATGTTGTGTTGTTGATGATTAACAATCTTGACTAGTCCACTTCTGGACTGGCCTTTTCTTAGAATAATAATAATATGTTGTTATAATCAATATTATTCATATTGATAGAATTAAAAATGTAAAAGAAAGGTTGTTTATTTAAATTATTTAGTTCACTGTTGTGGCTATAATAATTGTACTTTGCTTCATAGATATTACTATTCATCAAATGTATCGACGTAGCCCGTGGATAAAGAAAGTAGATAAGATTAATTTGAAGGCGAACGACCTTACAATTTTTATGAAATTATTTGCCACCAAAATTATTGTTTTCGATTGATTAAGTGTCCCCGTTATGCGCTAATATAATTTATACCGTCACTATTTCCATGCGGAGGAGGAACCTTACTTTCCTCTCCTCACGAGAAATAATTCTATTTTTCTTTCGTTCTCTGAGATGGTTATTGTCTTGGCGATTTTTATACAATTTTTCTAATTAAGTTCCTAGACCTGGATACTTTTCAGATTGAAAGTCTTTAAATTAAGCAATTTCTGCCAAAGATGTTCTCAATAAGTAAATTTTCTACAACGGGAAAAAAGGAAATATAGCGATTTGACTATTTTTCTTTTTCTTCTTCGTATGTCTCTCGGGTTAGCGAAGGTTAGCAGTCAGCTCTGTATATTCTTTCCTGTTCTTCACGACGTGAAAGAGATCGGCAACAGTTCGTCCGTTCTCGGACGTTGCGTAGCCGAGGCCACCCACAGATTAAAATATTAGTTACTTCTTCATGCATATTCTTACCAACCAAAGAAACACGACTTACAAGAGAATTTTATATTTATTTATATTTTTATTAATGTTAAGACAAATTTATTACTTAGTTTAAATTAACTTATTGGTGTTTTCCGGTTTTCTGTGATACCGTGGTATCACTCCGGTCGAGTCAAGTACTACGTAGTCTAAGTTGTGTCTACTATTCATGACCTAGCTAATACCTCCCGTCATCGACTCGTAATGGACATCAAATATTCCATCAGTTAGTCTATGAATGACTAATCCTGCCCTTGACATTGATACAGCGTTACCTAAACTCTTACAGAACAATGTCGGGCTCAGTCCGCTACTGCAACCGTTGCGTTCTCGTAAAGCCTGACCGGGCGCACCACTGCAGCATTTGCGGCCGCTGCGTCATGAAGATGGATCACCATTGTCCCTGGGTGAACAACTGCGTCTGTTTCCACAACTACAAGTTCTTCATGCTTTTCTTAGGTTATGCACTGCTCTATTGCATCTTCGTTATGGCCACGTGTTTACCCAGCTTTATCAAGTTCTGGAAGGTATGTTGCGTTTTATTTGATATTTTTATGGTCCTTTGCATCTGTTTTTTTATTATATTAAAGACTAGAATTTTTAGAAGTTTTGACATATTTTTCTTATTTAAATTTATACAAAACGTTTATTATAACTAAAAAGATCTAGGTAACACTTTTTGGCGAGTATGTGTTATAAATATTAACTTTGTTTATATTAAAAGTAGTTTTCTTTTTTGTGTTTCATCACAAAATCGCCGAAAAAATGTTAACCTGTTTGCTTAAATGCCCATTTGGAGGCCAACTTATATATTATTGAATTAAACAATTTATTGTTCGTCTTAGCTTTATATAAAACTACCTTTTAAGTAACCAACGAATAAATTTTACCAACAGATGTATCAGGAATACAAGTTAGCCCACTGCGACCGCTTGATTGAAAATGGCTCTTATAATAAAATATGCTTGGATATGATTAATGTAATAATTATTATTATTCGTATTAAGTTCATATATCTCAACAGGTTACAGATCTGCTTGCAATTCATGAATGCTTGGTGAACAATCTTATTGTTCTAGGAACAGGGTATAGCAAGGAATCAAAGGCAAGCCTCAGTTGGAATTTGAAATAACCTCGTTCATTATTAGTAATTGAACAATAATATAACATATGACAGCCACACGCATTCATGGATTGTACGAATTGTATAAATTATTAGATTAGATTATTGTCAATTTGCATAGTAGGGCGTAGTCTCATTAGAGTAATGCTATTTGTCATTTGTTGTCATTACTGGAAACTGTGTATGAAAAATGTACATCACTATTTTAGGCTGAAACACTACGACAGAGGAAAAAACCTTGATTTACAGCCAAAAAATAAATAAATAAACAATAGTATCTGTACACTAAACATATTAACAATATCTTAAATTATTTGGCCATAAATATTAGAACACAATCTTTGAAATCATAGATTTTATTGACTTTAGGAATAAAACCGGTAATGGAAATCTCGCACGTGTTAGAAAACTCAAATACCGAACAGAAGTGCAATGTAGTCGGAACAAAATTTTATCTATTCAAGTCTAATGAAGTTACAGAATGAACAGTTTATATTAATATTGAGGTCATACTTATTTATTATTAACATATAGAGCTCTGAATATCGATATGCACGTCCTTGTCGTTTGTACTTTCGTAATATACACGACCGTCTTTTGTCTGTGTTCTTTTTAATATTGGCATTTTAATCTCCTGGTTCCACTTTTGATATAAAGACCCGAGCAAGACCTAGAACGGCTTATAAATTTTTATTAGAGAGATTAATATTAGTTTTCGTTAGATGTATGTATATGACGTAACTCAGGCAGGTATACAATCAACATTTATCAGCATCATATTTGATAATTTTTGATAAAATTTATCAGTTTTAGTGATTGCTTCCAATCATTCAGTGTTTTATTTAGATTTAAACTTTTGCATTTAACTGATAATATACCGAGTTCCACATTGTTTAAATTATAAACGGTATCGCAGTGGGTTTGTATAGTTTTGCACGATATAATTTAAACAGTGTGGAACTTCATTGTAGATTGAGTACTTGCTTGTTTATTACCCCATCGGCAAATACAAACCTGCCCATTATTTAGCCGTCCTAAGTCCTTGTCACCTCGAAATCCAGCCGACATGAATGAGTCTTAACTAGTATGATAATGATTACTAAACGACTTACTGAGAAAACGCATGCGCCTAAACCTGCCCATTATATTAATTAATTAGATGTAGGTAGTGTAGTCTAAGGAGTCTTGTTACACATCTTATAGATAGTTACAATGTGACTCATACATTGCGACTTAATACAACACTCAAATAACGTCTTAAAAAATCTTAACTTTTTTTTTTTAATTATCACCAAATTCGTTGTAATAAGTTGTATTTTTTAACCTTAAATATGAAATATTTCCTTAAATTTGAATGGGAAAAACATCTCGGAACCAATTTAAACTTACACAAATGAATGTCACGTAACACTTTGAAGTAGGTGGGTAAAAATTATATTTCTATAGATAATAGCTTTAGCTCGAAAACAAAATAAATAAATGCCTTAAAATGACGAAAGATCAACGGACATTCCATAGCTAGTGGGTTTTTACAATGTCACCTTTTTATACTCATAATGTACACGGTTACAAAAATAGATATTAACTATATTATACGATGTTAGCATAATAACTGACTAATAATTACATTTAAAACATTTTAGCTGTTAGTCCTTAGATAATTTAGTTATTCTTAGCATATCATCATCCGAACGATATTTTTAAAGCTAAGAATGTAGTTTTATGGGAGCAATATTTTTAATAATTTTAAGTCGATTTTAAGATTTTAGTAACTTTTTTTACATTATTGCCAGGGTGAGTTTGGGTCAGCCGCTAGCACGGGACGATACCACATCGTGTTCGCTTTCTTCGTGGCCCTCATGTTCGCTATCTCACTGGGCTCCTTGTTCGGCTACCATTGTTACCTAGTCGCCAATAATAGAACTACTTTGGGTAAGTTTTATTAAAATTTATTAACCATAGTGACCCCCTCAATTTATCTTGCCTCATATTTCGTGTTATTTTTCAGCTTTCTTGAATTGTCTGCAATTTAGTTGCATTAAGTAAAATGATTTTTTTAATAGTATTCAGGTACTAACTTCAATTATTTAATATTAAGCGTTTGCGACTTATATAAATATTAGAGTACCTGGATGATTGAACTTAGCTCTGTTTTTTTTGGTAATTTTCTAAAAAATGAAACCTATCTGGATCGATTAATCGCCCCCGAAACGCAAGGGTGCGTACTAAATTTCATGAAAATCGTTGGAGCCGTTTCCGAGATTCAGATTGTATATATACAAGAATTGCTCCTTTAAAAGTCGTTTATTAGATGTGTGAGGCCAGGCTTAACAGGTAATCGAAACGATACCTTCTAAATATTTACATATTTAGAAGGTATCGTTTCGGTTACCCTATGCTTTGTCCGAATAGCACGGATCTTGGTCACGGATGGCTTGAAAAAGGTATCGTAATAGAGCTTTAGTTAAACGTGCCAGGTGTGGAAAGTGCCGATGAAATGTTTCGTAACACTGAGTTGGGCGTTGTCATCTTATATGACGATTCCATCCATTATTAATGCAGAGTAGAACCTGCTTTACTCTTGAGAAGAATGGCTAAGACAAGCTACAGTCTGCTCATTCTTTGCCACTTTCTAACGCGAATCCAGAAAGAAGCAGATGGACGGGATTGGTCCAGCTCTTTTTTGTAGTTGTTTATAAGGATTTAATCAAAGAGCCACTTCCTACCCGTCTCTGTCCAAAGGGAACGGGTTATTAGAGGTTACTTCCAGAACACCCCTATTTCCGAGTGATAGTAAACGTATCTATCTCTTCGCCGTTTCTAAATTCTCTTCTACGAAAATAGAGCTGCCCAAGACTTAGGACCTGCGTGCGTAAGCTTTATATAGCTGCAGATTGGTTACCTAAACAATATTGTTTAGTTTTATTAGTGTACCTACGGTTCTGAATGTTTAAATATGACATAAACACCAATTAAAAGTTTTCTGAAGATACATTTCTTTGGAAATACTTTAAACCGGATTTAGTTCGTTGCACTTGTATATTCGTATAAGAATCCTGTAGCAGAGCACTTTAGATTTTGTAATACTTTCGATTGACTGCAATTACAAAGACCAATTATAATAAGACTAAAGTAAAATTTGATTTCAGATATGCTCGTATCATACCGCCGAATGGGTAGTCCTACAGGACAGATCATAAACTCAATGCTTAAGTCCTTGGTCAACGGTAATTGCAGTCACTTTCAATTTGTACCGTTGATAGTTGGTTATATTAGACTATATATGTGGTAGATTGTTTTGATTGTATAGATTCGTAATGTCAACTAGTAAACCCTTACTTTTATAGGAAAATAATTAGATGTAATTATAACCACTAGTCATTAAACACTTTTAAAGAACGAATTTTAGATATGTGACCTGCAAGGTTATTAGAAAATCGTAAATAAATTACAAGAAGTAGTAACCCAGCTAGTTTCTTCACTATAACTATACTTACCTTGATTATAATTGTGATATTCTAGAAGCGTTCAGAGCGCCCATGTTCCGGGGAGGAGCTGACAAGAATGGCTTCTCAATCGGTGTCTACAATAATTTCAAAGAGGTTTTCGGCAACAGCCCTAATCTCTGGATGGTACCTGTCTTCACCAGGTAACGATTTTTGTACTTCATTAGGATGAACAATACCATAGAGTATTTTTGTGTCTGGCAACACGAAATTAACAAAAGTAACACTATAAAGTACTGGCATGTTTCTCTATGGGCTAAAGTATACGCACGTTAGGTGTTGTATATACGTATGGTGAAATATGTATAATACAATTTGTGTGCTATGTGTGACTTGTGTGCATGTCAATTTAAATGTGTGAAAAAGAAGTGAATGACCAATGTTCTAACGTTTGAAAACGTATGTTATATGTAATAATACCAAATAAAAATAACAAATACAGTTAAAAAGAATCTACGCTACTAACTAGGCATGGCCTAGGGGTCTTTTGTCCGCATCTGTGTAATTCGGTTGTCGATTGTATCATTGGCGGGTCTCACATCTTGCTAGTCACGTGTTATGGTTTGTCCAATATCTTATTTACTGCTATTTCTAATATAAATATTTTAAAGCTTCATAAAAATATGTATGTGTGAGACCATTTAGCACCCAGACTTCTCTAATCTAACTCTGATAAGCATGAATTTTCGTCATCAAATTTTCCTCGAGGTGTCGGATCCATAATAAGTTATATAAATCATTATTCTATTAAAAACCATCGCATATGCTAGCTTTAACATTTATATAGCTGTTCACTTTTGTAAATTGCAAAGAAAGTGATACTACCTCCCGCAATAATGAAGTTTTATGATTTTTTCACGTGGCGGGCACGAAAATTTTGCTTGGTTTTTCTTTTTTTTAAGACTTTTTTATTTGAATATGTTTTTTAAGAATTTCTGTTGCACATTTACACGTTTTTTTTTTAACTAGAACATTCCAAAAGACAAGTATGCGTGTATTATTCATGTAATTGCTTATACATATTACTCAAACAGGCTTTAAAATTTATTTTCGTAACAATAAGTTCTGAAAAACCAAAGGTTCGCTCTCGCCACGTCCACCGGAACCCTAATTAGTGATCATTTTGTCAGCCTGGGAGACGGATGCGAATTCCCTGTGCGTCGCGAACACCAACTACAGACGTTCACGACACCCCAGGAGACTCATGGCTACGAGTCTATGGGCACCACGCGGTCCAGGTCAGACAAGGAAGACGATCCAGTCCGCGACCACCAAATACCTTGAGCATATTACATTAGACAATGAAGGATTACGTACAAGTCGTTACGTACACACATAGTACCTTGGAATAGAACTCTAAGACTTGGCTATTCCATCTCATAAAAAAATTACAAAACTTTTTCAAATACCGATTAAATTCGAAATTCGAAATTAACTTATTCGAATAAATCTTAGGTACTAATAATCACATTTTATTACTAATTCAAATATTTTAGTGTTATTTCGAAATTAATGGTTGTTTTATCGTTAGGTCGAGTTGTACATAGAATATTTAACTAAATATATTATTTTTTTAAAAATAAAATACTTATAAATTCTCAAGTGCCTCTATGACATGTATATGCTCAATTTCTGTTATGGAATAAAAATATTGCCACAGAATATTAAATTTGATAGGTTGACGAAGCTTTAACGTAGAACGCTAATTCAAGTAATATTGTATGAAAATACAATAATTATCGAATTTATGCTCAAGTTATGTGGGAAGTCCGGCTGCAGATGTCGTGATTATTATTTTGTTTATTAAAATACTATAAAGACAAATGTTTCAACGTGCAAATTGCTTTTTAATGCATTTATTTCTGAGCTATATACAACACACAAGACTGATAAAGTTAGAAATGTATTTTGTAAGTATGTTTTGTGCACAATAAAATATTTTGTTTTTTTTGTTTATGTTTTTTATTTCACATGACTACACAGCTTCGGCGGTACGTTATCATCACATAGACGCTTGCGTAGAACCGGTAGCGATTAGCAAGCAAATGGATACAAATAACAACATACCTATGTTTTAAATATTTATTTTAGCGAATGGTAACGTCTATTGGAAAGTATTTACTAATTTTCTAATTTAAAACGTCTGTGTGCTGTATATTTCAACATAAATTTTATATATCTTCTATTATAAGTAAAATCTCTAATTCTCTCAGTCTATTTGTATGACTTTTGGGTGCCGCAGAGGACATTGAAATAATAATTAGCTTTCTTTGCAAAAGGAACTAGCTTACTATTATGTATTGTATAGAACAAGAACAGTTGAATGAAAGTAAAAACAAGATCTATCTTTAAACTGATTTCAAAATTTTTATAAAAAAAATTACTAAATATAAATGCAATAAAAATATAGAGGATTGCTAAGAAATAATAAAACACAAATGTTGTCTCGTATAGACTACAATAAAATAGTCTTTTATATACTTTTTTATACACACCATCACATATTTTTTTTGTACCCTCAATTACTAACTATCATATATAAGTATGAGCTATAAATATGTTTATTCTTAAACAGTTTGCTTATCTGTGTCTAATATTAAAGGCCTGTCTTTTATAACAACAATATTTATTATCTGTGGCACCCAGGCTTCTGTTTTCTTACAATAGGTATATATTATATTTCGAATTTCTACTAATACGCATAGACAATAAGAATATTTATTATTAACATTTTAGCACGGAGATGGGCCGCGAGACTGAGAGATGGAGACTTTGCCCCAGAAAGGGCAGGACCGTCCCGCAAATAGTATAAGGAATTTAAAAATTTCCATTTCGCTATATTTTATTATTAAATATATAAATAAAACCGTTCGACTAATCAACGTTGCTTTTCATTCATTGACGTCATTCAACCTTTTTGAAAAATTCTCAAAATTATAGTCATTCACTTCTTTTTTTATGTAGGTAGTTCATTATATCGGTGTCCTTTTGCATGCTAATTTATTTAGCGGAGTGCTTAGATTGAGTAAAAGGAATATTTGCGCTACGATATTGCTGTGCACACCGTAGGCTATGGCGTTCATCCCACTTGTAGTTGACATTGTAGCTTTATTCTCATATTCAGGGTCACTAACATAATCACTTGATACATTGTTACATCATTCACAATCAGATCAAATTGTATAGTATTACGTCTAGAGTGAAATATTCAGATGCCAAGTATTCATGTTGACAGTAGATAGACAATATTTTTATTGAATTAATATAAAATATAGGCGAGTTTTGGCACGGACTATTGTCACACGTTCTAGTACTCTGTGACAAAGATAATATATTTCACTTTAATGCAGGAAAGCTCAAGTGTTACACAAGGGATAACTCTCACTTTAAAAATGTACCAAGTCAGATCATTTTGGTTTTTTACCTTGGGGTTTTAGTTATTCTTATTACTCATTGGTTAAGGATAAACTTTTTATAGAATAATCTGGTAAAAAACAGTTATTACTCTGAATGCCTCTTCAAAAATCTAAAAAAGTTTTTTTATAGAAATGTTGTCAATAAAAAAAACCAAATTAAGTAATAGGAGCATTTCCTTACGATACACGTAATAATTTTCGAGTATCGTTTTTTTCCAAATAAAATATTTTATGTACTTGTTACAGCAATTTTATAAATATTTGAAAAATATGTTGATTTTATGCGTACTTCGCCATCTTTGCTGGATTTTTGTCTACATTATTATTGTTATTACTGTTCGCAATGATTTCCTATTTTGCACTTGTTTTATTTATCTAATAATTAAAATTTTATGGCTTAAATCTATACACCTGGATGATATAGTTTTGGCGACGGCATCGTGTACCCTACGCCTCAGGACGACGAAGAATCGGAGTCGCTGCTGAGCTCCGAGCGGTGGGACCGTTGGGGAGAACGCGCAAGACCCTTCGACGAGCGCGAGAGTTCATCTTTGGACGAACTATGAGTGTAGGTTGTTGTAGCCGGTCAGGCGCAGATTCACACTATTAATAGAACACGACTATAAAATCTCATCATGGAATTTTTTTATGTGTGGAGCAGATTCAATCCGGTTTAGACCCGTTTGAAGGATGTTTAGTTAAATATTTCGAGTGACTGAGTTCGTTTTCAATACTCGCGGCGCGTTTGTTTGTGCGTTCGTAGTAGTATTATGATAAATAATAGTATTGTTTTAGTAAGTACAAATTCAAGCAGCCATATTTTTCTTTTCTACCATTTTAATCTTCATCAATCTTAAAGTTCGAGTCTGCAGTATTGGCCGTATACAACAGATTGATATATTTAAACAAAAATTGTCGTAAAGAGGAGTATATTGGTGCTGGATGATAATGTAGAATGAATGATTGCATTCTGTAGTGAGCTTTACCCTAGCTAAAATTAAAATTACTATAAAACTATCGACAGTACATTAATATATTGTTATTATGAATTTTTGATAAAATTCGCTTTTTCTTACTCTAATTAGGATACGAGAATGATTTAAGTGTAATATCATAAGAACGCTCCATCAATTCACCTTTTAAACGAGAAAAATAAAAAACAGTCCATCCTTTTAGGAGCTATGATGCCATAGACATACACACGTTAAACATAAAAAAACCTTACAGATAAAGTTATAAAGTACCTTTATTACCTTTGTTCGATAATTATTAACGTATTAAAGGCGCAAATCTCATTCCTTATCCGTAGACAGAAGACATGGAGGCCGGCTCCAACTCTCAACCTGGGCCTGGGATTAACCTCCTATGCTCTTATACTTAATCATTTTCTTGTCACAATTAGCGGAGCACGTGTCTGTAAATCGAACGAAACGTCCGCTTAAATAAAATTGATAATTATTTTTCATTGAACTGGCAATATTTTACGTCATTAATAATTGTTTTGTTCATTGATTTCTTATTTATAACTAAGTCAAAAAGAAAATAAGTTTGTGTGTAGTTTAGAACTTATACTGTTTTATTTACACGGCTGTTACGGTGATGAAGAATAAAAAAAATAACAAAAAATTGTAGATTTGTCATGAATTAAATGTCCGTCGATAAAATCACGCTTAAAAACGCTTTTTCTCATTTTAAGTTGTGCACGTTAACCGTAGGCTAGTAGCCTACTGTTAAAAGCAATAAAATGTTACATTCACGAGTAGATTCCTTTGAAACACAAATATTTAGAGGTTTAAGCCAACGGCTAACAGTTAATTTCCGTTGCATGCTTTTAGTCATATTAACAACTGTCTTTAAAATGCCGGAGAGTAGGGTACCTTTACTTATTTAATTCTCTATTGTATATTTGTGTACAATCGTACAATTATGAAGTTCTGAACTTCGTGGGAGGGCAATTTTTTTATTAATAATTTAGATTTGTTCTTATGCGGCGTAAAAACGTTGTATAGAGTATCGAACGTCTTAAGTTGTTATGTAAAGCACTTTTGCGTGAATAGAATGTTTCGGAGTAAACAAGCCCGAGTAAAAAATATACAAAGGGATACATTATTACGCTTTACTCTTGAATTAGTAGGTATATCAAACCTATCACTTTTTGTATTACTACAAAAATTAGACTTGTTCGGATTTAGTTTGTTTAACACTCTAATGCTAATGACGTCGAGATTGATTGTACTTACCTACTTTTTTCTCGGATACCACCCACCAGTAGGGTGATTACGACGGACTCGAACCGAATAAAAACCGCACGATGTCTCGTATACTAGTAGCCGGGGAACCCTCGTTTGTGGGAACCACGGTGTTCCCATTCTTGTCCTTAGAGGGCGCGCGGGCTCCAGAGCGCCTCGGTTACTTTTAGTGAACAACGGAGTTCTGTATGTAGTAAGAAATATTTTGAATTTATTCATATGTTTACTCTTTTATAATGTCTGTCAGTTGGCAGATCATTCAAATCTGGAAAATGAAGTGAGCCAACAAAATTCCAACACAGATTCAATATCAACTGGCAAATCTTATTCTTTAATTTTCATATTTAAATAATTATAGTAAGGTAGTTATAGTTAATAATTATAGTTTGTCACTAAATAAGAAATATTTACAAATATTCAAATATAAAAAAATATATTTAAAGGCAGATATAAGTGTACAAAAGTCTGTTTTTCTTAAATACGAACAAAATTTTAATTCAAACGCATCAGTATTTTTTATCCAAGATCCACAATATGGTATAGTGTTAACCATCTGTCAGTGACACGGCAATGCAAGCCACTGCCCACCGTAAAAATGTTATAACGTGTTACATCACTGCTATCATTAGACATACTTATAATATAAGATTTCTGTATACGTAAGTAGTTAGCCGCCCATTGTTAAAAATATTTAATTTTATTATCTAACTACGACAAAATGAATAATATTATGAGGCCTTAAAATTATCAGACGTTTCAACACTAACATGCACTTTGCGTAGTTGATAATTGGTTAAATACTTGATAACCTTAAAACAATTGTTGCCTCTACGTTTGGGTTGATCGATAATAGTAAAAACAAAACGTCCCCTATTATTTTTCAAATTCATCAGATTTATCGAAATTAAAGTGGGTTAGGGTTGCTAGGTAGGCAAGTTAGACGCTATTTATAAGTAAATCTAGTATTTTTTAAATTATTATGTAGGGAATCTTTAATATATAAAATTCTCGTGTCACGGTGTTTGTTACCAAACTCCTGCGAAACGGCTAGACCGATTTTTATGATATTTTGTGTGCCTATCGGGTGGGTCTGAGAATCGGCCAACATCTATTTTTCATACCCCTAAATGGTAAAGGTGACCCACCCTTATACACATTTTTTAAATTTTTGTCAATTTTTTTTTATTTTATTATGATTTAGCATTGAAAAATACATACAACTTCAAATTTTAAAATAATTCCTAGAAATAATGTATATGGCAAAACAACGTTTGACGGGTCAGCTATATATAATAAAATAATTACTAGATTTACTATAAAATAGGCGAAATAGGGTCTTTACACATCGTCTGAAAACTTATTGGCAACAACGCGTCAATTACTATAGTCCATCAACGTCGTGCGCGACCGTCCTGCGGGGTGACAGACGGTGGCGCGGACGAGGTACTCAAGATGTCAGCGGGTAGCGGGGAAGGGAAACGCTTCTCTTCGTGTGTAGCTGTGTGCTATAGGCCGACCGTTTATCCGAGTCCTCGCCTGCGCGGTAACAGGGGCGCGGGGGTATGACGACAAAGGGGACTGAGACAGATGGGGGCGCTTAATGAGATACACACGAGATGAAATGCGCCAAGATAGTTACTAAGATATGTGACGTCATAGTAAAGAAATAGTGATTTAATAAATGAAAAATTATTAATGATAATACAAAATTTTAATTAACTAACTAAAATCTATGAAGGTACGTAAATAAAATATTTGGTAATAAACTATTGTACTATTTATTATATAGAATAATCATCAAAATTATATTTCAATCAGTTATGTCCATATCAAAGTCGGTGGAACTTGATTCTTCACTTTCGAAGGAGTCATCATCGGATTCATCAGAGTCGTCCAGAGTGTTAATAATAAAATCAACAGCATCATCCCGAATTCCATCATGTTTGCAGTACTCGTCCTCGATATTAATTACATGGTTAACACAATGCTCCCACTTCTGTGCAGAATATTCAGCAAATAATCCCTCTAACATAGTTTTTTTTTTGGTCTAGATTAGAGTCCACACTTTTTTCTGCTAATTGCCCATTAATGTCACCCCAAACCAACTCAATAGGGTTCAGGTCTGGGTGATAAGGAGGCAAACGCAACACTTCATGCCCGTTTCTTTTCAATAACTCGTCAATTTTATAAATATCTTCAGTTTCTGTCTTTTTAATCAATTTTGATAAGTCGTCCCTTTTCAGCTTATCATCGAAAACCACGTCGTGTCGTCGTAACCATGTTTGCATAACTGCCTTGGTAGAAGCCATAGTCGGCTTTTTTTCTTCTCGAACCGAATGGTAAGCTGCGTTATCCATCACGATGACGGAATTTGGTGGTATATTGGGCATTAGCTTCTCATTTATCCATTTACTGAAATTCACGTAATTCATAGAATCGTGATAATCACCTGTTTTACATTTGGATTTAAATATCACAAGTGTTCCGTCTACAAATCCAGTTTGACTTCCACAATGTACGATGATCAAACGGTTCCCTTTTCCAATATGAGATAGTACGCCATGTACATCCTTAGATTGCTAGCATTTTGAAACGTTATGAGACTCATTTACATATGTTTCGTCAAGATATAAAATATGTCTTCCTTCTCTACGATATTTTTTGAGTCCTTAGGTATTTCCACCTCCACGATGTTATATTTGGCTGTTCAATAAGGAGTTTCCTTTTAGAACCGCATTTCTTAAATTTAAAACCTAGGTCATGTAACAACAGCCTTAAATATTCCCTTCCGCAGTGTAATATTATTATATTCTCTTCTCTAAGTACAGCATTCAACGTTTTCAGAGTAGGTATTTTTTTATCAATTGTATAAAACTAAGTGACTTTTCTTCTTACCACTCCTTTTGTGAAATCGTCTATTTCTACTCTTTTTTTGCGAACCTGTTTTGATTTTTTCGGTGATTTGAACCTTTCGTTGTCTTTCAATAATTTCCCTTGATGTACGATTCTAGATAGTCTTTTCCGATAGTCCAGTAACTTCTGCTACGGTTTTGTTTAAATGTATGTCTTGTTGATATTCAACAGAATTTGGGTCCAGTTTCTTTTTTCTAAAATATTCGTACACGTTTAAAGCCATTTGCTTGCACTGACTATTCACTTTATGACCGAAGATCTTACGATTCATCTTGAGATTGTTATCTTATGTGTATCTCTCACAAGGCGTCCGCAACAATTAACTCGTGCGATCGCTGTCCGCGTTGCGATCGAAATGAGCGATTACAAAAATTCGCCCGCCGCCCGCACCTGTCTCAGTCCCC